GCATCGTTTCTTACAGATCTCTGCCTCGATGGGGATTAACTTTGATGTCCAAGAACACGTTATCTCACAAAGCAGTTTGTGATAAAGCTAGCTTATTTGTATCCTCTCCCATGTGTATTATCTGATGTCCAAGACAAAAACCAGCACTCCTACATTTTTTTTATTGCTAAAACAAGACACACTGCAGTCACGTGACAACAGTGTCCAACAAGCTGAAAATTCAACAATGTGACAGTTATGCAATTTCAGCTTTGAAATCACGTGTAGTGAAGCTTAATCTTTGGAGTTGTGAAAAGAAGCACGAGCCCTGCAAGATCTCAACTGGATGGCTTCAGTTTTATGTCTTCTAACAGAAATAAGCAGAGAAGGTACACACTGGCTTCGAATAGAGCGATAAGACTGAAGCCACGCCCAAGGCAACCTACTGTCTCTTCTGGTCAAAGGTGGGGTTTAACTCCTGCGCTCCTCCTGGAGCTCTGAAGTCCTCCTGGAAGGCCCCAACAGCCACATTAACCCACACGAAAGCTCAGAGACAGAACCATCTCTCTCCAAAAGAGGCGGCGAGCTCCCACAACATACCCGAATAATTCTGGCAGCCTCCAGCAGCACCCTGCTCCGCTCCATGCCAGACATCTGACTCCATATTTTAAAGGCAGCCTTTGCACTCTCCACAGCCAGATTGACTTCCTTCTCCCCCGAGCAGAGCAGCTTGCTTATCACACGACCTGGGCACATTTTCAACAGGAAATAAATATGATGGAAATCTCAGAAAAGGGGCACAAAAGAATATGGTTAATCTCGCATCGAACCCCAAAGACTTCAGTCCAGCCACCTACACCAGGCTACAGAACTCCATGCTATGGTTCCCACTGATTTGTAATTGGCTATAGAAGAGGTGCTGTAATTCAGCTGGTCTGAATTAAAAGATCTGCCATTCTCCACAGTCATGTTCTAGTTACTGATTAGCTCCAATTGTTACAAAATTCCTCTGTTTCCCACCGGAGTTTGTTATACTTCTACCACCAGCTTCAGGACTCTGTTACACATTCCTCAACATAAATATTCTCTCTCTTGAAGTGATTCTGCTGAAACCTAAGGATCTCCTATTAAAAAAAAAAAAAATTTAGACAAGTTCAAATCGTGTCCTTTGCTAAGATCAGGCACCACTCGATTTTTTGTGTGACTGAGAGTCAGAGCCGATTTCTGCTAAAAAGTTTGATGTCGGACCTGCACTGCAGGAGGCAAAACGCAGCCACCAAACCACCACGGCGTTCAGGACGCCTCCGCAGGCGGCACCGGCGTGGGCCAGCCAGGAGAAGCCGAAGGCACCCGGCCCTTGCAGGCAAATAACAAGGAGGCAACTCCCGGGCACCGGCCCCGCGCCTCAGCGCAGGTTTA